TAGCAAGATCAATAATAATAGTAAATCTGTTGTAGATCGGAGCATGAGAATTATGATTGACATCTTCAAACATTGCCGTTAGTAGAATGCAAATTGCTACGGTGGAGATGGTAATGAATAAGACGAGTAAGGGACAATGGCTAATGGTTACAAGTTAGTAATTATCTGCAAAAATTTTTAAATTTCTGTTTGTCATAGCAACAGTTCTAATGAACCTTGAATAATCCATATATCCATGCACGTAATATTTATGTGAAAAAATATTTTAGGTCATAAGCTAGAAAAAAAAAAGGATAATGCATCTGCTACAAAATATAATTTACGAAAATTGAAAAATTTGGAACAAAATTCGAGTATAGAAAACATTTTGAGCGATCATTATAGCTTATCATTTCATTATTTCCCAACTAACAAATAATAGCCGTGAGTACCGTATTTTCGTTTTCATATAAAAAGTTCGTGTCTTTACTCATTCGCTCTACTAAGAGAAGTTTTTTTTTTTTTTGAAATACATTGAGCAACATCATCTCATGAACTCTTTAAATCCAAATGCTTTCAATTGTAGACATTATTTATCTCTCGGTTGATCACAACTCTACGGACATATAGTATAACTGATAATATGAAAATCAATCGATAATGCTATATTTTAACGCTAAGTATTTTCATATTATCATGTATTATCATGACGAAAAAAAAAAGTTAAGTTTTCTCATTTTTTCCCCCATCCTATTCATTTAAACTATTGTTGATTTTAAATTTATAGCACAATTCAGTGCAAATGTTAAAATACAATGACCAAAACAAAATCAATCATTCAGTCAGTTGATAAATTTAGTAAGAAAAAAATTTATTATTTTATTGTAAACAGAAGCTGTAACTCATTACTGTTAATTTCCACTTTTATTAAAAAAATACGTAGACGATGTTAGATATTGTGATTTTCAGTTCCCCGCAAAACCTCTCTTTGTCACGTGTTTTTGATTTTTTTTTTTTTTTGGAAATTTCTTAACATATTGTCAGAAGAGAGTGTAACCTGAACTTATGCAGTACATTCCTTGACTTTGAGAATGCTTTAAAAATCTCAAAAAAAAAAATATCCTTCATGCCGTTTTGGAAGCAGATACATTAGTGGGAGTAGACTAAATTTTCACCCTAAATTCATTAATTTTTGCAACCTCAAGTGAACATTAAATCTTCGGATTCAATTTTTACTCACTGAAAGAAATCCCAACATGAAAGATTGAAAAGTTGATGATTAGAAGAGCTTTTGAGATAACTTTCTCTTTCCATTGAATATGCTCAATCTCTCATTTTTCCAAACATTTTACATTTTACAAAATTTCTACCCCTCCACAATTATACATGCTTTTTTCTGCTTATAACACCAAACATATTGTACGAAAGCTCGGAGTTTTTTCCTCTTTCTCTTTCTTTTTTTAAATATCTGATTGCTTTCTTTTTGTGAAATGATTAACTAAACTTTCTAATAAAATTCTATATCCCTTTCTCTCTGCTACATATGTTTATATGCTGTATCTCTAAAGAAGTAAGCAAATAAGGATGAATAATTAAATGAAATAAAAATAACTATGAAAGTTGTGAAGTCATTAATTGTTTCCAATCATTCGAATAGAGTAGAATAAAATTCAAATGGATCGAAGGGTATAAATGCTTAACCGGTTAGAAAATATCAGTGAGTAATCAAACATTAGTCTATCATTTCAACTTAGATACCATTAACTTCAACAATAATAGCAGCATTGGTTTTTTTTATTCTAAACTAACTATTTCTTGAAAAGTCTATCATTTCCTATAGCAACGTTTAAGTAATTTCATTTCATTATATCCTCTAATGATTTTCATTTACTAATTTCACTGACAAAGAGGGAAGACATAGATGAAATGTTCGAGAAAAATAACACAAACAATATATTTATTATTGCATGTTATAGTTCGAGTAATAAAAACGAGAAAAAGAAATAATGAAAATGACATACAATTAATATATTATAACGCATGCATTTAATCAAATAAATTTGCATGCTGCATTTTCGATCACATTTACTTTATGATTAATTTAAGAGCTCAGTTAGATGTGAGAAAAGTTTTAAACAATCAAGTAATCATTTAAGACAACTTTTGTATTATGATGAATTTACTGTGTAATAAAAGTGGGACAAAAAGAGAAATTTAATTAAATGACGAATTGCGAACCCGTTCTGTTAAAGAATATTATGAAGATATTATTTGTATTTGAAATTTATAAAAAATTAAGTTAAAAATACATCAGAATATTTATGCGAGCATTACAAATTGATTGAGAGAATCATTGAAATATTGCTTTTCTATCATTTTTTTCAATTTTTGCGATAATTATATTTTAAATTAATTAAGATATATGATAATGATAAGAGGTATCGAGTGATTTTATGCATTTCTAATACAGTAATGAATTGAAAATCGAAAGTAAGAAAAAATTAGGCAGTTTCAAGGTGCAGAACATGAATTCGCCAAATGTTTTTAACAGTATTTACACAATTTACAATCATATGTAGCCTTTAATAATCTAATTTATAGATAAATTTAAGGGAGTAAATTTTTGAACCGCAAATATTGTAATCGATTTTACAATAGTAGGTTTTTATTACTGATTAGAGATTAATAATTTTTCCCAACTTTTTTCTATAATTTATTAATTTCAAGAAATTTACATATTTAAAAAGAAGTGATGCGCAAAAAAATAATATTGAAACAACGAGATATGTTAACATATTATTTATTTAAGATGAAAAGAAATTGAAACTACTATATTATTTTAGAAATTTTTGAAATGAGAAAGAGCAAGGGACGCAACGAAATTAAACGATATGATAAATTGGAAACAATCATTTTTAGATTTTCTTTTCTTTTATGATCAAAAGTAACATTGTATAAAAATAGCAATATTGATCGATTGCGACCCAAAAAACAGAAAATCAGTTTCTGAAACGATAAAAGTGTGATGGTTCTATAGCGAAATTACATTAAAAAAAAAAAAAAAATGATATGCTTTATAAATTAGAAGAACCTAAAAGAATTCAATATCCGTATTAATCGATTTTTCATCCTTTTGATTATCCAATAGCGGTTCTAATTCATTATTATCAGTGTGATGTGATAATAAAGCTGACGTTTGACTGATACTATTTGGTGTTTCTAACGGTGTCCAAAATTGTGTTCGAGCGGATGCTGTATTCAATGAATTATCAGAGTTCCCTTAAAATTAAAACTTATCGAAGGTATCCTCATTATTAATCAGTTTATCATTTATACTATCAATTGAAAAAAAAAAAGATAAATCAATATAGTATAATGCTACATTCTACAAATGTTTTCCTTGTCATAAGGGATACAGAATATTATTATGCAAAAGTAACGAACGGTGATTTTGTCACCTTCATAACAAGCTGTAATAGGAAATACAAAATTATCATATCGTTTCACAGTAAATTTTCAACAATAATAAAGTGGAAATGAGTTTAAAAAAAAAACTTATTTTTGTTAATTTTGAAGGTTAAATATTTTTAGTTCTTTCATTTTATGCCTAATATATGAAATCAAAATGGCCTACTCGAAATATCTGCTTTCAAATAAATGGAATCATGTGGCTGATATTGTCCATCATCTTCATCAGATTTATGAAACATTTTAAATTTTTCTACATCGTTAGGAAAAGTTACGTTTGGCTCCGAAGTTGAATTATCAAATCTAAAAATTCATAATAGTTCCTGTTAGCACCTTTTTTGCTACATAATATATCTATAACAGGATAGAAATTAAGAGAATTAAGTTTTGCATATAGCTATCGTAATTCAAGTGATGATATAAAATTAATAGAAATGTATAAGTAAGGCATTACTTAGGTGTAGACGATGTGCCGGGTTCAGAATTGGTTATAATACGATGCGGTGCTGAATTCGGGATTTGAAATAAAAATGGACAATCAGTTAAGTGCTTCCTTTGATTTTTATTTTCCAGAAATATTTCAAGTAATAAATCCAACTTTTTGTCAATTTTTTGCATCTGTAACATGGAACTAAAATCTATTATTATCGTCTAATTTTTTTCTTTCTTAATTTAATATATACGTTATAAATTTGTAGTAATACCAAAGTCCAAATTTAAACAAATTGTTGAAAATAACAAAAATAAAAGTTTGAGAATAATGGAGGAATTCATAATTACCTAATTACGAAGTGAAAAAAATTCATAATTATTAAGTGATTACCAAATGGCATATTGAAATCATCTTATTAGTTAAGAAAAAAAAAAAAAGAATTTACATAAATTGTTGCTACCTGCATTTCCATAACGATTACGCGATGCGTTAAGGACACTTTTACTTCATCTTTTGGTTTTCCAACAATTTGATCCAACCTAAAAAATTTTATTTACTAAATTGTTAATTTATTTTTGTCAATTCTTGCTAAATTATATCTTTTAAGAAATATTTTTTTTGTTACTTTGGTCTATTGCATAGATAATTGATTACAGTCTTTATGAATGTCTAAGAGGAATGAGTTAGTTGAGTTTTTTTTTTTTT